GGCAGCGGGAGGACGCACATTGGGTCAGCGACTTGCGCCTGGATCTTTTCCAGGATCCTTGGACAGTGTCTGGATTTTCGATGTCCGGAGCTTGCGAAGCTGCGCCGAGCATTCCGCAAGAAGGCCATATTTCGGATAAGGTCTTTCTAGCGGGCGAGGTAGCCGCAGGCTCGTTTTTCAAACTGTATGATGTGGTGAACTGCGGGAATCCAGATCCCGAATTGAGCCGCGTACGTCATCCGGAGCATTTTATCGTTGAGACCACCCGGGCTCTGGGCTTAAAGTTTCAGGTGGTGCCATGGAGCTTCTTGCCGGTTATCATCGCCCGACACGTGCAAATCTATGGTTATTCAAAAGGTGAGGCCGCCTTCTGCTTGAAGTTCTCACGATTCTCTCTCTTTCGTCCCAGTGGCCCGTGCGTGTCTGCCGATCTTGTGCCATATCGAGGGTGCCACGACGTGTGGGAAGGTCTGCACGACCGGGCGGTCTTCACTGGTGCCCAGAAACAAAGCTGCGCTGCCGCGCTGCTGCTCTGTGTCGACGGCTTGTCCATACAGTGTATATATAAGCAAATAAATAAATAAATCATAAGTACAAATCATAAATATAAGTATAAGTATAAATATTAATGTTAATTTGTCAATATTAGTATATATATATATATGTATATATAAACAAAAAAACATACATACATATCCATATAATATAGCCCGAAAGCCTACACAACGGATCAGCGACTTGTGACTGGGTCTGTTTTGTTTTATGTATGTATAAGTTGCTATAAGGACAGCTACCAGTAGCTAGGGCTCATGTTTTAGTATCCCATAGTGCCTGGATACCCTGTTGGCAGAATCTCTCCGTCCCACAGGACAGCAAGACCTTTCGAGTCTCTGCGATCTTGTAGGGTTTGGGGGTAGTGTAGGGCCTAGACCTTCCGAAGCCCCAGCCTTCGAGACCCACTTGGCCCGCACCCCGCTGCGCAAAATCCAAGTCTCAACGGTCGCCAGGCACAGCGGGATCGCGAGATCCAGAATCAGGCTCCCCACCAAAATTCCTAGTGCTTTGGTGGGTCTCTTTGCTGCCTCAGTCCTTTCCGCTCGTTTGAAGTCATGAGGCTGCGTTTGCGTCTACTGACGCTTCGGGCTTTGACGTTGGCTCGCAGGCTTTTGTTGCATGCATTTGGTATGAGGCTTGAGGTTGGCAGATTGCTTGTGCTTTGACATGCACATGCAGATGCTCGTCGATGTTCACAGGAAAGGCTCGGCCAGGCCGCAACACATCACAGAAGCTTGACACACGGAACATACACCCGGCATATCTTTCAGCAATCCCGGCATTCCGAACCTGTACATAAGCCCTGAGTGACCTCAGCGCCGCTTTCCTGCGCTACCTCAGGCCACTCAAGGCTTCAGCTTGCTCTGTCATCACAGGTGCTGTCAGCCTTCCGCAAGGATCTGCTTCTGAACTGCAGTTGGTGGGCGGGTTGTAGCTCTGACATAAACCCAAGAAGCCCCGGCTGGGTTCAGTTTCTGTGTTTGGTCGTGATACCTGGGGTCGTTTGTGACTCAAGCCGGATCTCGGATTGTAAGATGTCCGCTCCTTCGGACCCGAGGCTCTGAGAGGCTCGGATTTCGGGTTCGCGGGATTTCGCGGGACTTCTGTGCCCTTTTGTCTTTTCATCCTTTTTGGGCCCGCAGGGGTGATCTGTTCGACCTTCAGCTCAACTGGAAGCGCTTGGTGACACGATTCCAAAACGGCAGTACACTTTCCTCCGTCGTCGCCCGGCTATTCCCCACCACCTGCCCCGTGCCTCGTGCTCCTATAGTGGTCTTCAGTAGACTTCGCAAGACATGGATTTACCAAGGCCCGCCGTGCCTGCACCTGTGCTGGAGCGGATGGATGATAGCAGCTCAAGCAGCATTGTCCGTGTTAGTACAACATGGTACAGCTATTACTTTTAAGTGAGTGCAGGGGATGAGGATAAGGAAGGCTTTGAGGATGCCAACAACGACCGTGATGATGAAGGAAGGCAAGGATGATGGTGACGGAGGCGACGGGATGGAGCACAAAGGGTTGTGGTGGTCGTGATGGTGGTGATCTTCATGGTGGCGGTGGCAGGGGTGTCGTCCCGGTGCTCGTGGCGGTGGTGCCTGTGGTGGTCGCGGTTCTTGCAGTGCTTGCGGAGTGGTGATAGCAGCAGCTGTCGTCATAGTCGAAGTAGCGGTGGTGGGGCAGTGGGAATAGCTGCAATTTCGATGCAGCAATTTATGGGGTGAAGCCGTCTTGTTTTCCTTGTCTTCGTCGTCGTGGTAGTAGTGTAGTAGTGTTAGTAGTAGTCGTCGTAGTGTAGTAGTTGGAGTAATGGTAGCAGAGATGAACTTCTGCAACGCCATCAGGGAACCCTTAGGCTGTGAATAGAAAGGTTTGGAATAGAACTCTAGTATCCCAATATAATCCCCAGAGTAAGTATGAACAAGACTTATGGGGGCGGTTTCTGGTGTCGTGTGCAGAGTTTAGCCAGAAGGTACTTTAGCTGCCTTTAAGATTTTGGGTTTAATGTTTTGGGTTTTGGAATTTCGCTTATCAGCGTATCCCAACCAGCACAGTTGCCGTACATGCTTAACGCACCAAAGCTCCCATTAGTCCGAGGTATGTGCCCTGGCGCCCGACCACCCCAGGACCCATCTTCAAAACCTTCAATGCCTTGAATCCTTAACTTAAAACCTCGTTGTATTAGGGCTTTGTGCAAGTTTACAGAGGAGGACTATGGGTGAGTGTAGGTTTTGTTTCTTTTGGAACATGCTACTTGTAAAACCCTAGATCTGCCCCTAAACCTGAATCCTACGGCCTAACGTGGAAAGTCCGGATTCGTTCAAAGGCCAGCACCCTGAGCTTGCACAGACAACCCAGGCCCGGCTCATGTGCAGCGCCCGAGTCTGACGAGCACAGTCCTGTCCGGGAGGCTCCGGCATAGGGGAGCTTCACAGATTGATCCGGGTCTTCCCATGCAGCCGCTATGCTAATCCTTATCGTCTAAAGCCGCTAGTCTTCAACCGGTGCCTTTGCGGTTACCTCTCTTATGCTTCTTGACTTTGGTGTGTTTCGACTTCGCTTTGAGCTGTTATTGAGTCAGAGGCTTGCTGTCAAGGGTTAAAGGGGATATTCCAGAGTTTTTGTCACTCAGAGCATATCGCGCTCTTGGGCATCTTGTCTACTTTTGTGCGCATGGGCTTTTGTTGGAATTCCTCGGAGCCGAGCATCGCCGCGGGCTCGGGTCGGGGTCAATGTCGGTAAGGTAGGCAAGACGGCCAAAGGATACCCAAAGAGCCCGAGAGAAAATTTGCCACTTCGGAAGCCTCTGAAGGGCCGGCTGACAACGAGTCCCCTCAACTCCAGGCTAGGCTTGCACAGCGCAGAGTCGAAGGAGTAAGGCTCCGAGGACAGACGCTGCCACGGGCTCAAAGCCGGTAGCCTGGGGCGACGGTCCCTTCGGAGACAATGAAGGCGCTGATTGTTTTTTTGGTGTCTTGTGGTTCGTTCATGGCTCTGTGCTGGGCGTCGGGATTTTTGGGGTGTGGTGCAGCAATTCAAGGCCGAATGCGAGATAAACTCTAGCTAGTTGCTTTATGCCAAGAGCCTAGATGTATACAGGCACGTGAGGAGTTTTGGAGCATTGGCTTCTCTGCGGCACGTGCAAAAAGGAGTGCGAAGCCCGAAAGGCAACGCGGTAGGCCATTGCCGCTTGGGGTTGTGGTGTACGCATATTGTGAGAACAAAGTTGGGCTGCAGTTCGGGCACGCTGGTTCCTGGTCCTATGAGCTTCACAGAACTTTTTCGGAATACTCGGATGGCCGAGACCCATAGGCAGACGGCTGGCTGTCACATGTACCGGGTGTACCGCCGACATCATGTTACCGGACAAGGTTGAGACCGGCCAGCGAGCAAACCCAATAAAATGAACCTTGAAGTCTGGAATCCAGAGCTACAAACGACGAGTCTTTTGAGGCAATCAGCTCCAAAGAGCTCGTGTCTTCATGCCGGTTCCCAAACCCAGCTTAAATTCTGAAACCTGTGATCCTCACCTCTTGCTAGGTAGGCCTCCTTTGCGTGGCCTTGCTGCCACTCACCGCCGCACTCACCTTCGGGGACCCCGAGTTTTGAATTAGTTCGGGGACGCTTTTTCGGGCTGCGGTCCAGGGCCGGAGGGCTCTTTCGAGTTTTGGGGGCATCTGGACGTACTCCCTCGATGGAGCTCGGAATTATGACAGTTCGACGAGCCAGGGTCGCTGTGAAATGGTTGCATTTGCCAAAGCCAGATGTTGTAGGGTTTCTACATCCTAGGCATGGAGGTTTAGGTGCTGGAGGTATGCGGTTGGCACGTTGGGATTCAAGCAATCCTGAGGCATTTGTGCTTGCAGTTTGAATGACCTTCGGTCCGCGACGATGTGCTAGGGCATTCGCGGAACTGCCCCTTCACATCCTGAGAGTGTGCACGTCCCTCCTGCCCTCAAACCATCAACCCGAAACCCCAAACCCTAAAACACCAAACCTAAATCCTGACGGTCCTGACTGTCGCGAAGGAGGACGATGCAGCGCGGCCCACCACGAAGGTGTCCAAATCACTGCGTCGGGTTTACGGAGTGGAGGGTCTTAGAGCTTTTGTTCTGAGGGAACTCAGAAATTCGAAGTTGCCGTACGGGGTGAGCGACGGAAAGGTGATGGGTTTGCAGGCGAGGTGCTTGGGTTCATCTTGGAGCCTTGCAGAACTGCCGTGATGGCACCCTGTTATGCTTACACCCTTCCAAATGCAGACCGGGGATGCGTTGCGAAACTCCAACAACCTCCACGTGGGCTACCCAAATCCTAGTAAAACGTGCAACCAAAAGAGACTTCAAACCGCCGAAAGTAAAGCAAAGTTGATGTTTCGCTATGCCGCACCATGCCGCACCCTGTGGCAGAAGCTTGATTTCGCGTTGCAGGTGGTGAAGCTTCTCAAAGGCATGCAGGAGATCTTTCTCTGCCTCATGTTCTGCCCGTCCGATCCCACCGCCTAGCCTAAACCTGCCAATGCAGCTGGACCAGTTTCTGATGGCATAATCTGGAATGAGCTCCAGCAACTCATGCACGCCTGTGCAAGCATGGTTGGTGGGCAGGAGCAGGTGGAAAGCGAAGCCAAAGAGGATGAGGAGACATACGACAAGTTCAAGTGCTGGTGTCACGAGTGCTGACCTCAGTCCTGGGAACATTTTGCGGAATGGTTGCACGCACGGTCCAGTCATGAAGTACATGCATAAGTTCAGCTTCTCGAGCCCTGTGGTAGCTTGGTTAGCACCTGCAGCCTGGACCATCTTGAAGGAAGAAGGCTTGATTCCGAATTTAATTACCGGACCATCAAGCAAGAAAGGAAGAAGGCTTGATTCCGAATTTAATTACCCAGCACCAGGGCATATTCCAGCATCGCATATATGACGAAGCCTTGTGATTTTCCTGTGACGTCAGGAACACCGTGGCCAAAGAGAAGGCTGTGAAGGAGGCCGAGGCAGCCACCCGCGAGCTCAAGGCAACACGCGAAGCAATGGGGGTTTTGGGTCCCATTATACTATAATTCTGATAAGGAGCCCCCAGAATAGTATAGGTAATTGTTAAGGCCCCTATATTTGGGGGTTCGTAGGTTCGTAAGCGCATGCCTTTTTGAGCAGTTCTGCCGCTTGGTAGTAGCTTGAAAGAGTCGTGCTGAGAGGGAGCCTTGACAAGGAACCATGTCGCTTGAAGTGGTCAGTCTGCCTGACCCATTTCAATCATTTCAACCTTTAAAGCCAGGATCGCGTGGAAGTCCTCTTGGCCAAGAGCGAGCGCCTTAAGCAGGAGGTCGAGAATGCCGAGGACTTGCAGCCACTTTCACTGAACTTTTGGGGCCCGGGCCCGGGAGCTTCTTGGAGCCCCACCCAAGCGAAGTTTCCGCGGCCTTCGGCACCAACACCTGTACCGCCACCCCTTCAGAAATTGGAAGCCTCACAGTGGGAAGGACGAGCGAGCAAAGAACGAGAACGCTCTTGACACTG